TTGGGTGAGATGGGACTCAAGTTCGGCTGTGGTCAACTTCCAGGCCAAAGGCTCGTTCGTCTTGAGCAGCAGGCGGCGAACCTTCCTGGAGCTCACCCGGCACTGACGTCGGCCCTTGAGGAGAAGGGACGATCGGCTCTCCCATGCTAGGTGGGGTGGAGAATATGTATGTGTTAGACTGGGGTACGTGTGGCTTGTGATGTACCGGTACCAGAATCACTTTGGTAAATATGTAGACAAGTAGGTCAGGGGGCTGCTGGACTAGAAGTAGGGTGGGTCAGTTCCCACATGAATCGTCGCCTGCCTGCAAGAGATCGTCTGATTTTGCGGCAGGCTTTGGAGATGACGAGGACCCATTCCTCCGCCAGTTGGAGTTGGAGGACTTCCACAAGGCGGGATCGACGGATGGCAGGGCGAAGGTTCCGAGGCAGGTCGCGAAGACCCATGTCAAACTCTTTGTGGATGCGTCGATTGAGAGTTGTTGGTTGACGATGTTGTCGTCAGAATGAAAGACATCATTGCGATGCTTCATATATGTATATATAACTGATGCATTAATCGTATTAAAACTATCTCAAGTTTCTAGATTGCCGTTGACGGCTGTCATGGCCATTTACCATACGGATGTGAGTCCAGTACTGTTGAACCAGTTTGAGGCATCCAATCCCAAGGAAGTTGCTCCTATCGGATATTACATTGCACCCTTGCACATGTAGAAACGATCTTGTCACTCGAGGCGGCGTATTTTTATTTAGTTTTTTGAGTTTTTGAAGGTGATGGTGGGCATGATTGTGTAGCAGGTGGGAAGCCACTTGTTCTTGCGCCCTACTGCCATGGGTGTATCAATCCAAGTGAATGGAGAGCGTCCCAATGGCACAGTATTCCAGAACAATGTGGCGACCATCTACGTAACAAACTGTGGTTCCCTCGTCCTGTGGTCGACAGAGGGAGAGTGAAACATAGAGGGGCAGAGAGATGGCCGAGACATCTGACTGTTTATGGACTTGCGCCGGTTGGCCGAGTCGATGTTGGGTTGGCGGGGTGTGCCAGGTTGAAGATCATCTGGCGTTGCCTGGCTAGAGAGCGACAATTGGTCGCTCTCTCATGGGAGACAAGGCGCAGCCAATGTTGACGATCTTCAAGTGATTTGTTGAGGACAGTTTCGTGGGAGTCACGAAAGAGGTACTGCGAGCGTGGGGGGATATCAATCAGGCCCATGGCAAACTGTTCGCGGATGCCGATGTCAATCTCCCGCTTGCAAGCCGTTTACCAGGAGCTGTCTTCAGAGTGGGCAAGCCGGTTGCGGTCTTTCCACATGTAGTGCCCGATCCGGATCAGTTGTTGGATCAGGCGGGAAGCCCAAAGGTTGGCGGACTTCTTGGAGCCGATGTAGGAGAAGTGAAGGGCCTGCAGATGTCTCCATTTGGGGGACACTAGGCCCTCAAGGAGGCCCTGGGCCCCAAGCTTGGCTTGGGAGGAGATTGCACGTTGGAAGAGATGAGGCTGGCAAGACCAGGCTCGGACATTGGGAACTCCCAGGGTAGGCTGGCGGACCGTCTTCAGGTACTCAAAGAGGAAGGCTTCGATCTCTGGGGCGGTCTGCTGGGTCTGCATCCAGGTCCGGAAGGCAAGATGGCGTTTCGACCATTCTGCAGCTGCAGTAGGAGCAGAACAGCGTGGGACATGGAGGTGGTCTTCCACCGGGCAGGAGGAGCATCTGGGGCAAGAGCTCGTTGCCGAACGCTTCCAAATGGCCAAGAATTTTCCCACCCCTGTCATACCGGAGATATGCTTGGGTGTCCAGCGTTGAAGATTGGCCGGGAGGGCTTTCATGGCGCGTGCCAGAGACAACCAATCGACCTCACGGATGGACTGCTCGGAGAGGCGGTCCTTGGAGGACCAATATGAAGGGCAGGAAGAGAGACCAGCTCCATGATGTGAGCCTGATCCAGTTTGGAAGACTTAACACCATCAATGAATAAGGACACAGGTTCATGGAAGAAGCGGGGGTTGGAGGCAGCAGAGTGGCCTGTAGACTCCAGCAGGCGGCGGTAGGCTTGTGCTTTGGAGTCGACTTCCACATTGCGCTACTCCCACCAGTCCAGTTGAGAGAAAGGACGCTGCTTATTTAGGTGACCCTTGACATGATGCCGATGAACTTGGAGAGGAAGGTGGCAAAGCAAGGCCCGGATGGTGGAGGCCAAGTCAAACTGCGCGCCAGACAAGGACAGATGTGCTTCTGAGAAGGACTTATCCAGGGCGATGAGGCCGTCGCAGGCCATCTCGACCAAAGGTTGGCTGGCAAAGAGCTTCAGTTGGGCAAGCTGAGCCATCCATTCCAGCACCAGGAGAGAAGCCATAAGGCCAATCAATTCGCTTCGCGTTGAACTCTGATCCTCAAATTTTCCAGGGGTTTGGCAGGTGATCCAGATGATATTCCTGCGATCCTCAGTGAGAATTTGAGCGCATGCTGTGCCCACTTTAGCTTTGTAAGAGCCGTCGCTCACCACACGAAGGGTACCGGCAAGAAGGGCCTGAACCAGGCGATTCTCACTACCTTCAAGGTAATGACCTCTGGAACCCAGCCGTGAGAACCTGACTCAGCCAGACTGCCAAATTGGTGCCAAAGATCAAGGATGGAAGATGGGGGGCAGGTGTTTCGGCGGGTTGGTGAGGTGTTTCGGCTGGTTGGTGTGGGCCAGTAGAGTGGAGGAGGACCCGGCTCTTGTGGCTTGGAGACCGGCTAGAGAAGACAGAGACCAAGGCGCGGACAGTGTTCACTGGTAGAGGTGGGAGATCAAGGTTGAAGTGGCGAGGCAAGTAGAAGGTGCGCTGGCGGCTGGTGGAGGAAGTAGGCTCAGATGGGATCCATATCTGACCCTCGTGGTGGAACAGGGTATTGGTAGAGGGGGAGTATTGCCACTTCCAGGACAAGTCAGCTGAGTGCCACAGGCCTAACGGGGAGCTGAGGCGGCGTCGGTTGGAGTGGCCTGTCAGGTGAGTAGAAATCCATTGCTGCCACATAGTCCACCACTGATTAGACGGACGAGCAGTACGGGGCCATTGGTACCTGTCAGCAAGGTAATCTGCTCGTATCCCTTTCCATGCGTCCAGAGTGATCGCTGTCCCTTCAGCATTCACAATATCGGAGAGAGTGACAGCGTGAAGGAAGATCCGACACCAGTTGAGCCATTTCAATGTATGCTGATCCACCAAAGAGTCAATGAACAAGTCCACTAACAGTTGATCCCCTTGGCGCATTGGTTGGAGGGAGGGAGAATCAAACTCCAGATGTATGGAGAGAGAATCAAGTTCACTCCAGGTCCGCTTGGCCCACATATCAGAGGCCAGGATGGAGGTGTTGGAATAGACTTGTTGGAAGAGGCCATAGGAGGTACCGGTCTTGAGCTGATGTGCCTGGAGGACTGCCTCCAAGAAGGCGCCCGTTTTGGTCTGGTTAGCCGGATGGCGAAGTAGCATGTCCAAGTGCTTGATGACTTGGAGGCCGTACGGATGGGGAACACCCACTCCCTGGAGTGCAATGGGGGCGTAGACCATAGCACGAGGAAAGTTGCGGCAGATACCAGCCTTGGGCAGTGACGCCCGGAGCACTGGGGATAGTATCTGGTCCCACTCCTGTGGAGAGAAGAAGGTGAGCGCCATTGGGTACTCCAAAGTCTTCTGGATTGTGGTGCAAAGGAGAGGAAGGACATCATATTGTTGGAGGAAACTAGGTTGGATCTGGTCCGCCCATGCTTTTGCCTTCCCTTGCATAACCACGAGTTGAGCTTTACTGTTGGAGCAGGGGGACATCAGAATACCCAACGTCTTGGCCAATTCATCCGCTTCGAGCCACTTTAGATGCACAGAGGTGCCATCCAGATCATCCAATTCAACCGCAATTCCGACATGCCTGTTGGAAGAAGAGATGGTTTAAAATCTCGCTTCTTCCGGAATTGCCATACACCTTGTTGCAAGTTCCACTTGAAGTCAATCAGATACCAAAAGGATTTATCTGGTCGGATGGCGCCACCAGTAAGGCGGACGCCGTTGGACCACCATTGCAGTGCTTTGGCCACCGCTGGGACAATAGATTCCCCAGACTGGTCAGGAGATGGTGCAGCTTGGCAGACATCAGTGTCATCGACAAAACAAAAGCAATCGGCCAAGAGCGGAGCCCAAGATATTGACATAAGAAAGTCAAAGCCAAAGCCTTTGCTAATCATCATCCCCAAGAGAATGGAGCTAATTGCCACCCAGACAGGAGGTCCTGCCCCATTGCCTTGTCCACATCCTTGGAATGGGATCAGGGTCGGAGGAGTAAAGACACGGTCGGAATCACCAAACCCCGTACGCACCCGGTGTTTAGACTTCATCAGGGTGACAAACATGGAGCGAAGGGTACGCCATTGAATCCCAAAGCGCATCAGGCTAATGATTGCCACCCAGTGGACAATGCGGTCAAAGCAGGACTTGGCATCATTGGATATCCACCGGCGGGACGGCATTGCAGATGTAGAAGGTCCCAAGTGAGCCGCTTAGTAAGGGCCAGATCGATGGCCTGGTGACGCTTGCGAGAACCGTGTTGCCCTGATGGGATCAGTTTGTGTTTCTCGGCATAGGCCATGGCCGATTTCCCCACCCTTTTGTTGTTGGCTTGGAGTTCAGAGTTCATCATTTGGATCGTGCGCATCAGGTCCACTCGAATCTTGCCTGGTTTCTTTTCAATCGCAAAATTGAGCAAATGGCACCATTGGGCTGGGACAAATCCTGTTGCAAAAGGGATAGAGCAAAAGATCGTGTCGCAGCAAGCAAGTAGGTTTGATGCTGCGCCCGCTTTGTAATGTCCATTATGCAGACCGTGTGGTTCCGAGCCTTTATGTTCCCCCATCTTACGCCAGAAGCTAACATGGTCCTCCAGGTCCACCTCCAGTGGTTGGTCGTCCAAGCCCTCCGGCCGTCGACAATGGTCAATGAATGACGCCTAATAAGGGTCCGATGTCTCAACTTCATAGAGGCCCTGGAGCAATGCTTTGCTGTTCTGTTCTGCGTTAGGGCCATTGAAGTCGGAGTACAAAGGTTCAGTCATTGGTGGGGTGGGGTAGGGGTAGCGCGTCTGGTCATACCCTAGACAGTTCTCTTGCATGCAGCCTTCCTCCACAAGGCGTTTCATCATTGCGATGCTTCCACATGCCTTTACCGATAAGGATGAGCTGTCAAGATAGATTGGCAGCCCACAGGTTACCGGATCGGCGACTACCGCGAGAGCGGTAGAATTGTTGCTGGAGGTCGGCCCAGCCGTGGACGAGAAGGCCTTCGAGGAGGCATTGGGGGCCAAGGCGGAGTTGGGCCTCGCAGACTTGGGTGAGGGCGGAAGAAGACATACCGTGGAGGCAATACCACAGAGTCTCGGTTTGGGGCTGGTTGTTAGGGGTGCGGATTACGGCTTTGTCGACCGATTCCAAGGCCAGGCAGGAGACCCTCTCATTGTCAATGTAGATCGCACAGGGTTTGGAGAAGAACTTTGGGTTGGTGGCGATCATGTTGTTGGTGGATATCAGCTCGTCGGCGTAGCCCTGGGCAATGTCGTCCACTTCGGAGTTCCGTTGTTCCCACCAAGACATCTGTCGCCATGTCTTGGTTCGGTCAGCATGGCCGCCAACGTGTTGTTCGGCCCAGGAGATGTTGGAAACTCGGAGGGCCTCGCGGATGGAGGACAAGAGATCAAAGTGTGGAGCAGTTGGGGACAACGGCCAAGTAGAGAAGGCCTGGCGAAGCGCGGCGATCCCATCACACGCCACACGGACTCGTGGTTTGGCGAGGGACTGTAGGCGTAGGCGGAGCCAAGAAGCCACCAAGATACCAGCTAACAGACCAATAAGTTCACTCCGGTACGCACTCTGATCCTCTCGTTTACCAGGTGTACGGCACTTGATCCAGATGACGTGTCCTCCACGTCTAGTCCGTAGCTGGACTGCTGCTGTGCCCACTTGTTGCTTGAAGGAGCCGTCGCTGATCACCCATAGCTTTCCCTTCTCCAGTGCCTCCAGTAGGACTTGTTCGTCACCCTCAATGTAGATGTATTCCGGGACCCATCCCCAATCGTCGTCCATGTCAGCTGCCAATTCCCTCCAGATGTGAAGGATCAAGGCCGGCAAGGACTCCGGATCTGGTGGATCTACAGGGGCTGTGCCCGTGGCAGTTACGTAGGATGTCCGTGGGTAAAGGTTTACTGATGCCCTTTGGACGTCCCCGGGAAGGGTTCCCGTCCAGGTGTGATGAAGATCCCTGCGGAAGGTCTTATGAGAACGCGAGTTGATGGGTCGGTAGATTGACAAGTTGGAGGCCGTCCGATGGAAGAGGATTGAAGAGGTGCGAGAGAGGAGCCAGGTCCAGCGGTCCAGCGAATCAGATAACGGTCCAAGGGGCTGTAACAATCGGCGACGGCGGCGGCTGTAGGGGCGGAAAGCGGCACCAGTGGCACTGATGCCACCCGACCAAAGGTCCAAAGCCGATTGTACCAAAGGGAGGAGGTCTTCGCCAGTCGTCTCCACGTTGTCGTTGGACTCCATGACATCGGTGTCATCAACGAAGCAGAAGCACGAAGCGAAGAACTCCTCGTTAGTGAGGGCAGTTCGGCTCTTGTACCCAAATCCCTCGGCCTCCATGGCGTCAATGAGGATGGCACTGATTGCAACCCAGATGCAAGGGCCTGCGCCGTTGCCTTGACCGCAGCCTTGGAAGGGAACATCGCCAGTGGGCCCAAAGGTCCGATCCGAGTCGCCAAAGCCAGTTCGGACCCTGTGTTTAGCCTTGGCCAAGATATCGAACATTAGGTTGGTGACAGTGACCGGCAGGCCGAATCTCCGCAAGGCCGTCTTCGCTACCCAGTGAACGATGCGATCGAAGCAAGACTTCGCGTCGTTCGAGATCCAGCCGGAAGACCGTTGTTCCAGGATGAGCGAGTCCCAGATCAATCGTTTGGAAAGGGCTAGATCAATGGACTGGTGCTGCTTTCGTGACCCACACTGTCCTTTAGGGATGATGTCATCCTCCTCAGCATTCTTCATTGCAGCCCAACCCGCCTTCTTGTAGTTGGCTTGAGCCTCCGAGTTGAACAGCTGGATGGTCCGCATCCCCTGCGGGCGGAAGTCGCCAGGCTTCTTCTCAATCGCGAAGTTCATCAGGTTCTTCCAGAGTTCCGGGACATGGCCTAAACGGAGTGGAAGGTCTCGAAACGCCGTATCACAAGAAGCCAACAGTTCCGAAAGGGCGCCTGCCTTGAAGTGGCCATTGTGGAGGCCGTGGGGCTCAGAACCCTTGTTCTCAGGGGTGCGACTCCAAAAGTCCACGTGCTCTTCAACCGTCAAAGGGAAAGGACGAGGCCGATAACTGTCGTGCAGTCGACAGTGGCGAAGGAAGGCTTGGGTAGGGTAAGCCAGGCCACCAGGGATGGGGAGTTTGCCCTCCAGAAGAAGTTGTTGGTTGTTGTCGGCGTCGGGGCCCGTGAACATAGTGTAGAGAGGCTCAGACATGGGAGGAGTTGGATGTGGGGTCTGGGTTTGTTGATACCTGGCCCTATTTTCTTGCATGCATCCATCTTTGACCGACGTCGGGTCAGTAATGGTCTGTAACCGACAATTGCCAGAGCTGTCCTCCAGTTCGACTTGGATGGCCCTTAGACCGCCAGACAAACCGGAGGAACGAGCCTTGCGCCTCCGACGAGTCTCCTCGCGTTGCTTCATGGACCTTAAGCAGTGATATCGTTCTAGTCGGCGTGCCGTCTTGTGGCGGACTTTAGCAATGCTCTGGGTACGAGTAGTGACATGAGCCTTCCGCCATTTAGAAGTGAGGCCCCTCTTGGCGTCTCTATATTGACCAAGGTCTTGGGTGAGGTGGGACTCAAGTTTGGCTGTGGTCAACTTCCAGGCCAAGGGCTTGTTCGTCTTGAGCAGCAGGCCGCGAACCTTCCTGGAGCTCACCCGGCGCTGACGTCGGCCGTTGAGGAGAAGGCGCCACAAGGTGATCCGATCCCGAATGGATTGGCCTTTAGGAGACCATTCTGCCCCACCCATCGACAACTTCCTGCAGTTCTGTTCCGCCAACCGTCGAACTGTGTAGGCATCAGCGTGTATCCGATCTAATCTGACCGCCTGGAATTTGGTGATGCCGCCCTGCTGTCGGGCAACATCGAATCCTAGGGTAGAGAGACGACCCGGAATATTGTACCGCATATAACCCTGCTCCGCCAATTGGACGTATCGTTGAACCACCCGTTTGTTGTGCATCACCAGCCGGCGTGGAACATGGGTGGATTTCGTAGGTTGGTGTCCGCCAAGGAGACTGTTCAAGTCAAAGTCGATCCACAGGCCCCGGTGGTCGGAGGCGACGTGTTCGTCAAAAGGGTAGTACCCGGCGGCCAGGATGGGCACGTCAGGCGTCGCGAAGATGCCGTCAATCGGATACCCACGGAGGTTCCGCTGGTAAGTGGCCTGATGGGACCCTGGGTGCTTGGACTGGATCGCCTCGACCAGTCCTACTTCGCTCATCCGAAAACGGAAAGACTTCGGGGAGTAGGAGGATAAGTCATCGTTGGCATCGATGCCCAAGATGATAGAGCAGCCTCCGTTGCGCCATTTGTTGATTGCCGTCGAGAGGTCCTTGATGAAAGCTTCCCTGGGTTCTGCATCGCGGTTGGTGCGGCTGAAGTGGGCCTTATGTTGGAACCACACTGTTTGATGCCCGTCGTTCGGTGGGTTTGGTCGGTAGGCAGAGATCACCACCAAGTCGCGCTGGCCAACGCCTCGTGTTCGGCCCTGAAGACGTATCCAAGCCCATCGCCCCAAGCTATCGTCGCCACTGGACCTGACTCGGTGAGATACTTTGTTGAAGGCAGAAGTCGAGCAGCCCCCAAATTGAGTGGTAGAATGGGCCGCCCGTGGCTGATGGGTATTGTAGGCCACCGCCAAATGGAAACCTTCCCCCTTCCTAGCCATAGTGCTGGCACGTTCACGCCATCGGTTGGTTGGTGTAATTGCTGGCCAGAATTTGTTCAATTCAGCCAGAAGTAAAAAGTCCACACATTCACTTCGAATCCAGTGGTTGAGTTGTGCTTGTTTAGGGTCGTCTGACTCATCGGGAATAGTGTTAATATTCTGGAAGGCGAGTCGGGCGGAACCCTGTGCACGAACAAGATGGTTGTCACCAAAACCATCTCCTGGAAGGAAGGAACTTAAAGGGAATCAAGAGAGGAGGTGTGTGGAGCCGCTCTTGACCGGTTGCTGGTGATAAACGATCTATGCCTGTTCCGCCGCAACCGAGCAGCAGGCGATCTTTTGTTTATCATGGACCCGTCGTGGGGGTACTGATACCCCCACGACCGGTGTCCATAGGAGAGGACGCATTGGGTTGGTCCTCCCCATCTTCTCCGTCCGTTTCATGAGCCGTCGCCGGTGGAGCAGTGCCATGGGCCGAGGGACTGAGTAGTGTAGTAGTGCTGACACGTGTCTGGCCTGGTGGACCTGTAGGGACGTCCACTGTGAGCATCGGAACAGGCCTAGCAGCAGCAGTCTCTTGGGCGGCCTTCATTGCCTCCAAATCGTCACGAACGGACTGTAAGTCCCGGTTCAAACTGTTCTTCTTGTCAGTAATGGTCTTGATGGTCTGGAGAGCGGTCTGGAGCTGAGCCTGACTCTCGTTCCAATCGTCAAGGAAACCGATCACGGAAAGGCCATCGTCTACATCCCAAACATGTTTGGCGTGGATGTCGATGTGGAGAGTGCCCTCGAGAATCTCCACGGGGTAGGCGAGGTCGGTAGCGGACCAGTTCTTGATAACTCGGATGAAATTGGGGAACGATGACTCGCCAAGGTGAAACTGGAGAAAGGACGGCAGGTTGTCGAGCACGTTCATTGCAAGCGGGAGATAGCGCAGGCGAACCACCACAAAGTAGCATCCATCCTCCTTGGCTGGGAAGATCATGACGAACAGAGGGCTTGGTCTGTCGTTGGTGAGGTCCATCTGAGCAAGCTGGTCGATCCAGGCATCGTCGTCCTCAGGAGACTTGGGTGCCATGAGGAGGGACTTTCTTGTCCTCCACAGGTTTTGGAGTGGAAGCAACCAAAGACTTTTTGATGATGGTGGTCCACTCAAAGGTCGGGGGACTGTCATCATCATCGCCGTCACCGGACGACTCGCTATCACTCAGCACATCTAGGGCCTTGGTCGGTGGCTTCTTGGGTTCTGCATCCTCCGCCTTCTTGGCCTGGGCGCCCGTGACGATGACGGCAAGAAGGAATCGTAGGAGG